CTCCTTAGCCCTTTGTCATTTGGAAAATGGACCTGCTTGGACCCTTTCCTTTGGCAAAAAGACAGTGTAAATTTTTTATTGTCGCTGTTGACTATTTTATCAAATGGATTGAAGCAAAACTACTTGTTACCATCACAACAAATAATGTTCAAAAATTCACTTGGAAGAACAGCATCACACGTTTCGACATTCCACATACCTTGATCACAGATAATGGTCTACAATTCATAGATCGGCGCTTTAATGAATTTTTAGAAGGATTGCATATTAAACACCGAGTCACCTCTGTCGAGCATCCCCAAACCAATGGACAAGCCGAAGCAACAAATAAAGTCATCCTACATGAACTGAAAAAAAGGTTGAGTTTGACAAAAGGCAAATGAGCAAGAAAAATTACCTAAGATTTTATGGGCTTACCGGTGTACTCCTCAAACAACCACAAAGGAAACATTTTTTTGGCTAACCTATGGTATTGATGTCATGGTTCGATCAAAATTGGGGAGCCATCCTTTCGGAGGCAACATTTTGATGAACATACTAATGGTGAAGCTTTAGCTGTTAACCTGGATTTATTGGACGAGGTACGTGATCAAGCAGCTACCATGGCCGATGCTAGTAGAAGAATAATGGCAAGTAGGTTCAGTTCAAAAATAAAATCAAGACAATTTCAGGTTGCAGACTTAGTGTAGAGGGCTACTGGAGAAGCACGCCGAGATCGACGAGAAGGAAAGCTCGCTTCCAACTAGGAAGGATCCTTTCGGATAACAACATGCTTAGACAATGAATCATATAAGCTTGAAACACTTGAAGGAAAAGCTCTACCAAGAACATGCAATGTATCGCATCTTAAACATTATTTTAGTTGAACCTTGTTGTAAATTTAGTGCACTCTTTTCCTCGCTCAAGTTTTGTCCTTTTATAAAAATGTGAAGAGAGGTTCTCTTGAGAAGGTTTTTAATGAAGCACTTTGTTAATAAAGTCACCTCTTTTACAATACCATGGATTTATTTACTTCCCTCCCAAGTATCTCACTCGGTTAAAGATGAATCAATTATTATTCCCTCCCGAGTACCCCCACTCGGTTAAAGATGAATCAAGTATATTTGATTAAAAAAGAATCAATTATTTTCCTTATCAAACACCCCATTCGGTTAAAAATGAATTAAATTACTTTCTCGAGTATCACCTCTTGGTTAAGAAAGAATTAATTACAATTTCTTAGTTAAAGCTGAATAAGTACACATCTCGATCGTTCACACAATTACGATTAAATCTTGGTTTGCGTCACGAATATAAAACAAATAAATAATGTAAACGGTAGATATGAATTGAAGAAACCAAACTTGTATTATCAAAAAGGCCAATGACGTTACAAAAATAGACACTATCGGCCTTTGATTTACAAAAATAAAAAATTATCAATTCCCCTTAGCACCATCATGGGTAGGGACTTCTTCGGCAGCAGCTTGAGCTTGACAGGGTGCCTCAGTGTCGGGTTCCACCTCCTCATCCACTTTGTCATAAGGTAGGAACTTCCCACCAGTAAGATCAAAGCGGAGGTCGGCAGAGACTTGACAAAATTCAAAAGCTTGACACATAGCATGATAGAATCCAGCCTCATGCTCGACAACTATTTTGTCGTTGCATTCGGCAGCAAAAGCTCTCATCTCAACATCAGCCTTCTGCCTTTCCGTAGTCAAGGCTTCATCCGACTCCAAGGTTTTCATCCTGAGAGCCTGTTTAGTGGCGTGTAGTCAGTCCTCAACTATGTTGAAGTGCTCCTTCATCTGAGCCACTTTAATCTTCAGGGCTTTGTTGATTTTGGCTAAGTTTGACTGAACCTCTTCACTTTCTGCTAGAGCCTTCTGAGAGGAAGATAATTGGCTTTGACCTTTTATAATTCTTGCAAAGGTTCCAAAGCCAGACTATGCGCCATCACCATTGTTCTAGTTTGAAACTCGCAATACCACGGCCACCGAGACCTGTTATTTAGTTTATTTACAAGGCTCCTCCTTGACTTCGATAGCAAGTTTAGGGAGACGACCCTTCCAACTCGAACCCCCTTAGCAAAAAAGGACTCGGAGAAGACAGCCAGAGGAACGACAGTTTGCACAGACGAGCTGCTTGCACCATCCAATCCTGCAGCTCGAGAATGTTTCTGCTTCTTCTCCCTTACAGATTTTTTCTCCTTGCCTTTGTCTTTCCTTTTCTTTGGTTGACCTTCAACAAGGGTTAGATCCTGAGGAAGGGGCGAGCTTCACCCAAATTCAGCACTTGGTCCAAGCGAGGGTTTCGGTGCTCCTCAGTCGAGGTACCTTCAGGAGCTCGTTGTCTCAAGCCTCAACGATTATTCACACTAGGTCCTCTTTGAGTCATTATACCTACAATAAAAACAAGAAGTCAAATCAATATAATCTAGTATCAAAATCAAACATTACAAAGACAAAGCATACCATCCATATCCAAGCGAGGTTGAGGGGACTTCAACAAAAGGATTAGGGCTCGGGTAGGAAGCTCTCTTGGAAGAGACTTCAAATATTCCAAAGCCGATAATTCTTCAGCCGATAACATATCCTCGGAAAATGAGTCATACCGACGAGGTACCCAAGTCTAATGAAAGTGGAAAGAGGATTATTTTTGTTATCAAAAAAATATTTTATACCAATAGGGTGCACTGTTACTTTAAAGTAACCGATTTAAAAACCCTTAAACGACGCATTATAAGGTTTAAAAAGTGACAATTCAGCCTGCTTTATTAACGACACCTGTCTGGCTTTATCTGAGAGGCGTGTACAGAAAAAATGAAGAAATAAACCTACACTAGGTTCTATGTAATGAAATTTACATAAAATCCTAAAAGCTTGCATTGCTGCCTACCCATTTGGATGAAGCTGTGTCAGCGCAATATTCAAAACCCTCAAAACACCTATTTGAAAGTCATCAAAAGGAAGTTTTATACCTAACTCTCTAAACATACACTTGTACATAGAAAAGGTGTCAACCATCTCGGCACCATCCCCTAAAAATACCAGTTCGAGATTATAGGAGCCATCGCCTCGACAAATATTAATAATTATCGGATAGGAATCCAAAGCCTCCCATAGTGATATATCACAATGATCTACAAAGGCCTGTAGATGTTTATTTTGTTGGAAACCTAAGAAGTACGCATACACTTCACCATCCACCTATTCAAAGCCAAGAATAGTATAAGGGGGGAAGATCGGCCTTTCTCTTGGGGACTAGCATTCGATAACGGATCACTAGACTCAGAACCATCGGCGACAACAGTGGACATTTCAGCATTGTCCTCACAGTCGTCTCAAGCTCACCCCCAGCAGTATTCAGCCTTGAAGAAACTTCTTCAAACCTTTCGGTCCCTTTGAGGTCCCCAACCTTAACAGCAGTAGTCGACCTTGTATGGTTCGACAGTGAATTCTCCCACTCAAGAGAATAGGCCATAAGGAGAACAAGATAAGAAGAGAGGGGCAAAGAAAAACAAAGCGTACCTTAAGGTGTCAGGAGAAAGAAAAAGCTTCTAACAGTTCAAAGCACAATATACCCCTCGGTTTAGAGAAAAAAATGTATATGATGTCTAGACCACCACATATTTATAGAACATAGGGTTTCGGGCAGGTGAAGAGTTGCACATCATTTTATCCGTTAGATCTTTCTCAGATCAACGGATGTGATCAACCAACCTTTCATTTCAAAAGCACAAAGTACGAGGAAAACAAACTCCAAAATTGTCGAAACCATCAGTTCTGGAAACCTTCAGCAAAGACTTAGCCGAACATATATTCGGTCTCAACACCAATAAAAAGATCTCGAGTACCTGTTCGGATGAATACCGACATATCATCTTCAAAATCGAATACGTTATCAACAACTTCCACATCATATTTACCTACATAAAGAAGATCATAAACACCAACAAAGAACGGTCTACAGGACTTAATAAACCCTTAAGTCGTACCTCCTCGGTCTTGGGGGGCTAGTGTACTGGATAGAACATCATTTGGTCTCAATGATAAAAGAAGAAATCTGAATATCCCCTCGACCTAAATAGGACGAGTACACTCCCAGTCAAATTAAGAATGAATCAAAGGATAATTAAACCAATTAGGATAAATAATTATATCATTATTTATTTAATTAAAGGGACAAAGTCAAGGCTAATTCACAAAGCCCATTAGCCCATAACATTGTCTATAAAAGGAAAGTAAGAGGTACAAATTATAGGTTGACTTTCAAATATTTAATAGCATTTATTGTCTAAACCGACACGACACCTGACTTTATCATCGGAGTACCTTTTGCAAGTACATTCCCTTCACGTCAGACAGAGAAAAATCAACAGTACTTGTAAGGACGTCACCTTATCCCACAGTAGAAGAGTATCAAGAAGATCAATGTATCCATAACAAGAATAATTGTTAAGGTAAGAAGTTGCATTATGTGGTCAAATGAAACACGAAACATGTCAAAAGAAGTGATACACAATTGTCACGAGAAAAATAAGGAAGGTAGCAAACATTGCTAATAATTATACACATAGTGGATTTGAAAAATATTTGCCAATCCTACACAGCACTGATCCATGTCATTGAGATTTTACAAAGTTTATGTTAGCTATCAAGTGTCTAACATGACCCTCCTTTTTTATCCAACTTGGCACTGACTAGGTAAAAACTATGCAACAAAGCACAAAATAGGCAGATTTCAACACTGATTCCAAAACATAAAAAGCAAAAATAAAGAGCAAGAAATATGCATGTTATCAAGAGATATTTAGGCAACTCAAAAACCTAACCTTGCTAGTTGCTATGGTAGTATCGCTATCAACCACTATGTGAAACCACAAGGTTTGGGTCCATCAAATACTTAATTCTGACTGAAAATATAAATGAATAACATATAGGAATAATGTTGTACAAATGAAAATGAAAATGGAAGAATAAACACTAAAACTCAATACCAGAAAAATAAACTTTACTTACATCTTGCTAATGTCGTCCGAACCAACACACGAGTCAGGAGTGCTCTCTTGGTCAGCTGTTCTCCACGCATGTGAAATACATTTTCTTTCTCACAAGGTGATAGAATTTCTAAATACCGGTTCAATAGGTTTGTGCTCTTTACTTCATTAGGTAAAACATACCAAAAATGAGCTTCCCTACATTCCAGCATAAAGAAAATATTTACCACCTCATACATTAAACAACATTTCGGAAGATACACAAACAACATAAGACTACTCAAAACAGAAAGACATCCACAATACTAACCAAAAAGTTTATTTAAATTAAAAATAAAAATCTAATTGTACATAATAACCCGTCAATGGTGCATAGTATAAAAACAAGTAGTTAAATGCTCAAGATAGTGAAATACTTCTGTGCTGCGATTTGCACAAGAGGCAAAGAGGATGAAGCAGTGATGAGATTCCTTCCAAAGCAATTCATATTCATCATTAACAGTGCTTTGCCTCGCAATGACGTTATTCATTCACAGTATCAAGCATACTTAGAGTCGTCTTCTAAATCAGTTTCACACAACAGTAAATAGATACATCCTGGGAAACATCGAAATACTAGGGAGATGACAGAATGTAAATAGTACAACTCAAGCATGGTAGTGATTTATTAAGAAAAAAAACAATCTAAGATAGATGTGTTTCATTCACAATTTGCATGTAAACATTGCTTAGGGAATTTAACCAAAAAATCAGCGATAAATAAAAGGGAAAAATAACAAATTAAGAGACTTATGGTTACGAATTGAGCGGGCTAACCCCGACCCGCGCGCTATTAGTCAAAATTTCTTAAAATATACCAGTATATTTTAATTTTGATTCTTATATTTTTTTTATTTTAAAATTATTATTTTAGTCTTTAGTTGTTAATGTTTATAAGAAGTATTATTTTTTGTAGAGTCACGTCAGTAATAAATACAATTTTAAAAAATATAAAGATTAAAAATATTTTATAAGAATCAAATATTTTAAAGAATTAAAAATTAATGTAATTGTCAAATAAGAAAAAATTAAGAGAACTAATATATCTCTTTTTTCACCTCCTAAATGGCGTAATCCCTTTTTAATGGAAGTACCCTGAATAGTGTCATGCCAATTAAAGAAATTGTTTAGCCACAGTTATCGTTTTAAACCTTATGAATGTGAGGGGTAAAGAAATTGTTTCTAGTGATCTCATGCCAATTAAAAATAGTAAAATTGAAATAGTACAACCGTTTGGAATAATGTTTTACTATATTATTAAAACTGAAGTTTAATTTTTCATATATTTATTATAATAAAATAAGTGCTTTTACATTAAAGATAATTACTACGAACTTAGCATGGTTAATGGAATGGAAAGAATAAACATGGTCAAGAACCACCCTCAAACAAGAACAAAATTCACACATGAAAACCAACACTTATATTAAGCAGCAATCCTAAACTGGCTATTCCTAGGCCTGGAAACACGGACACACCTCTTTACATGTTCCCACCCAACTCATTCCTACAGAGCTTGTTACTCTCACAACATCAATACCATTCTCAACTATGTTATGATACAAAATCAGATTCCTTTCAACGCCAAGCTTCAGCTAAATCTGTTCTAGACTTTATAATATGCCCGACAATTGAAGTTGTCATATTTTTTTCTGCAGGTCCTTCTACTGGCAACTCAATCACATTTTCGGAACAGGTGACCTTGTTAGAACTACTCAAGTGAAGACTTCTGCTCTTACAAATATTTGCTTGATCATCTTTAGTCAAACTAGTAAAGATTCCATTTGTCAAAGCGCACATTTGAGATACCACATTGCAATGACAATTATCAAACAGCAACCTATTTCCTCTAGGAATGATATTCTCAGTAGTTGTAGGCAAAGTTTTGGATCCACTTTCCATTTCTGAGCCATCTTCAATAGGGTGGCTCTGTAGAGAAGGCTCTTCAGTAACAAATGTCTTATCCTCTTCACTACAATCACTTAAATTTTCACGGCCATCTTGGAGTACCAGCTGTGAAGAGCTTTGGTGCCCATCATCACCAAAAGAATTTAAGTCTGAAACAGGATTTGAGTTCATCATAGACTCCTCTCTTTCTTTGAGTGTCTTCATCACAAGGGTCTTAAGAAAATTCATCACTTGCACTACATACATCAAAGCAGTCAAAGGATCTGCCATCTGTGGTAGACAGGTCAGAAATGCTGTTATTGCATCATGGATTAATATTTAATAATAACCTCAGACCTTTACTGTATAGTCTTGCTCAACATACTAAAAGCAAACCAAACTCTCTAGGACTTGGGAGGAACGGTTCATATATATTCACCAGAATCAATATAAACATTTTTATTGCCTCATAGATCAACAATAACCTCTGACCAACCCTAAAACTTTGAATAAAATGGTAACATACAAACAAGAAGATTTTAGGAAGACAATAAGAACATCAATTTTATTGTACCGAGGGAGAATACTTAACAAGTAATCACAGGAGCCAAAAAAACAGTTCCCTACTTAAATACTTCTCTTATTTGGAGTGTCATACGATTCCTAAGAGATGTTCCATAATCTAAAAGATCTCACATTGTTCCAGAACCAGTGCATTTTCTTATCTTTCAAAAATCTCTAAAACCTTTATAAGGTAAATTAAAAATCTAATAACAAATTATTTTCAGTGAACTTGTTATATTATTTCAGTAGATGAAAGTTAAACTAACCACATGGGAGAAACAATAAACACACGGATAGAAAAAATAGTTGTACCCAATGAAGTTGGCTCATATAAACTCAATAACAAAAACTACCATAGACAAGAAAACTTTATTTTGACTTACTTGAGTCATGTTTGGTGCAAAAACCATTGCAACATTACGAGCATTCATTTTGTTCAAATGTTCTAGTTGAGCAACATCAGCCATTAGGTTTATTGCCCAATCTAGTAAAGTAGCTTCTGTCTGAGGAAGAAGCCTCACAAGTTGAACACATTCTTCTTCTGATTGGGACTGCATCACCTGCTCTGGTGAAAGAGGGTCTAATACCCCAGTTGGAAGTTCTCTGAACCAAGCCTAAAACGGAACAAGAAAATTAAATTAATGTAGCAATTCCTATAATATAGTTTAGTTAACTAGTTCATGGTCTCAGTAAGTGCATTCAATCCCAGCCCCACAGGAAGAGGGAAACACTGATGCATTTACCAAATTTTAAAATAGAAGAAAGGACCAAACTCAACAATCCTTAAAACTAATTCTGAAGCAATCTTCAAACAATTTGTATTTTGGAAAAAAGAGAAAAAGAAAAAGTGATTATGAAGAAAATTTCTAGTAATACCTTTATAAGACCTGCTAAGCAGTGCACATCAATGCCATCTGGTACAATCCCTCTATTTAATTGTTCCCTCACAAACTCCTCTTGACTATTGTCAGCATTAATTCTGAAGATTCCTTCAGCCTGCACGTGTTCATTAAAATCTCAAGTTCAAGTCTGGTATAATAAAAACCAAATCATATGAAAGTTTTCTGGTAAATTTAGAAATAAGCATCAAATAAAATTTTGAGAGTGTTCATCGCTAACTTGCATTATGTAGCGAAGTAATGTAATTATTCAAATCACCTTTAGGTTCTCACCAACAAGGCAGGAAAAGACATGGGAGAAAAATACCTGTAGACCTCCTTGTGCATACAAATGCCTTTGCATTAGCAAGAGTATTGTAGGTACACTATTTCCTCTGGCATCATAAGAAAGCTGCATAGATTCTGTTGAAACTCCAAAAATATTTGCACTGTGGACAAAAAAGAATAAAATTTATGAAGACCCATAAGACGATATAAGTTAAGACTTGAGATGCATTCTCTGGGTATTCAATGAGTCAGGTAAAAAGCACTGCCAGAAGTAGATGCACAAAGGGATGGTATGTAATCTAAAATACAAATTGAGTGTGCATGCATTATCAAGGAATGCAATGGAAAATCTGATACCAAGTTGCAAAATGAAAAAATTGACCAAATGTTTTATGATGGTAACCACAGCATATTGATGAAGTGGACAACAGTTTCAAAGAAACAGCACTTGTACTTGTACCTTTCATCAAGCTTGAGAAAGACAGATGAAATAGAGCACAGAAAGGACAAGTAGGATGCAGAACAAGGCATTGGGAAGAGAGAGGATTACTTTTTCACAATGAACAATACATGTCTTGCTTTATACTTCTGTAATGACAACTATGACACGGGAATCACCGCTCCGTGCAGAGCAACGTATATTCACATGATAAGTATCAAATAAGTATATGTTTAAAAAAAAAAACAAAGAAAAACCATTGCATAAGCAAACACCGGTAAGACTAAGGGAGTTTTTATATGGTTTTTTTTAAAACAAAAAATAATAAAAAATTATTATAATTATGTACTTTTAAAAAAGTAAAAATCTAAAAAAAAAAAAAAAGAAATACTGTTCTAGTACTTTGCTATGAAGTTTAAAATAGCAACTTTCGGGGTAAAAAAGCTCGCAAAAAACTCACATCATAAAGTATTTTTTTAAGCTTAAGCCTTCAACAAACGACCCTAAACATGACTAGCACTACATTACTGGAATTCCAGTCTTTCACTCTAACTTGATTAAAAATAACTAAAATATGCCGTTTGTAGCCATCAAATACGACTTTTGAAGTTTAATAGTGCAAGCTAATAGGCACGACAAAAGCTAAATTGCTAAATATAGATTTCCAATAAAATTCCTAGTATGAAATTTGTACATAATCCCTTTCAGAGTCCAACAAATTGGCTATCTCATTGAAACAAATTGGATAACACAGGCAATGGAGAAGAAACTTCAAGATGATTAGCATTGCATCCATAAATCAAACAGAACAAGAAGATAATCTAGCTGTAGTAAGCAGTAGTACAACTAGTAATTACACAAATAAACATAATTACATCAAAACGAAAAACACCGTTAAAGAAAAATATCTGCCATATCACTCAACAGCTTACTTATTTGAATCACTAAATATTGACACACATTCGTGACATCGTATATCATTATTTTTATCTCTCACTTTTTTATCTTTTCTGCATATAGACATTTCAAAAATACACCTACAATATAAAGGGACACTTAAAGATGTCTACTTTTAGTGGTACATAAAACATTTTTCTTCAACAAATGCACATGAACTTACCTGGCACTGGGAACCCTTCTAGGAACTTCAGGTTCAAACTCAACGGGCAAGCCAAGAAAACCATTGAAGCGATCAAAGGTAACATGTGCAACATGCCTAACATTGGAAGGCATGCCAATCTCCATGGAAGAGTGATCACCATTACAACTACTTCTACTGCTGCAACCAATCAAAGATTTCCTAAAAGCAACAGCCAAAAGTGTTAAAATACACACATTATCACTCTCTCCATCCCTTTCTTTCCTTTTCCTGTCTCCTTCTTCTTCTTCTTCTACTGTGGGGTTGCTAGTATGGGAGCTTGGGTGCCCACGTGTAATGGAAGAGCTTGAGGGTGAAGGGAAGTGAGATTGAGATTGGAACACTTGGGTCATGCTGTGTGTTGATGGAACACGTAGTACTGGTATTACTATTGCTAGTGTTTGTCATGTGGGATATGTGTTATTCTGTTTTCTTGAGGGAAAGACATAATTTTGACGACGTGATTGTGGAGTTGAGTTTGATTCAAGAAAAGGGTGTTGGAGGGTAAGACGTTACTTTCACTACTGTGCTTTAACCTGCTTGTCTTGCCCTTTTAAGGCAACATAGAGAGAGAGAGAGAGAGAGGTTGGTGGGGTGGAGGAGAAGAAGATCATGAAGAGAGAGAGAGAAAGAGAGGAATAATGACATGTACAAGACGTTAAGTAGTTATAGACACTACCTTAGAGGTGGCATGGGATGATTTCTGTCTCAGAAGTCAGAACAGAAGAGAACCTTTGAGTCTTCTATGATTCTTGTTGCAGTTTTTGTTTTTCCTATTTTTTTTTTTCTCTTCTGAGTTAGAAATAAAATATTATAAGAAAAACTTATATAATGACTTAAATATGCTTTTCTTTTTTACATTTTTTATTTTTTTAGTCTAAAAAAATAATTTATTTCTTAAAAAAGTTATCATTTTTAATTCCACGCATGTCCACCGGGTTAACTACTTTCCAAGAAAGTGTTCTTTGTTTAGGAAAATGACTCTAAATAAGTATTTAATAATAGGAAAATTTTATCAAGAATAAATTTTTATCTTTAATATAATAAATAAATTTTAATAACCACAGCTCTTTTATTACAATTTTTGTTAACATCATAAATAATACTGTATGTAATATATATATATAAGGTGCTTTATTATGTACATGTACTTATCTTCATATTAATGTTCACGCTTAAGAAATCCTAGGCTTGGCATTGCATTATTATTAAACTACCAACACAAATAAATGTAAATAACATGTCCCATCATGGTCCACACGGTCCCCATGGAAGATTTTCCTTAATTTAGCTATCACTGTTTAATAAAGGCTATGCTGGCGGAATAAAAATGTACTAAAAGATTATAATGCTAAGGTAATTAAACAATTAGCATTTAATATTAAATGTTTGTGCTTTTTAATTAATTATTAAGCATTTATTATTAAGAATTCTAAATCTTCTTGATAAACTAGCATTTGTTTAATTAAAAATATTAAATAGTTTGTTGAGCATTTAATATATTAAATTTTTGTGCTTTTTATTTAATATTTTTATTTTCATGATTACAAGTATTTTAATTATTTGTTACTAACAAGATTTAGCATCTAATAAAATAATCCAAGCAGCTTTCAAGAAAAAGATATTTTGATTAAGAACGGAATGTGTAATAGGAAAAATATTTTTTCTGTATAAAATGGTGATCTTTTAAAAGAATAAATTATATTTTATTTCTTAAAATAATTTTTTCTATTTTATATACTTTAAATTTTTCATTTTCCTCTTTTGAAATATTAATATTTTTATGTATTTTTCTCTTTTTATAAGTTTTTTACCAATTGGTTACACTTATATTTTTTTCAATATGAATGAGCTTTTTGGGGTCAATTTTTCCTTTTCATAACTTTTAAGATTACTAACAACTAATTTTAAGTTCTTATTTTATTGGCTTTGAAATTTCTGAATATAAAATAAAAAGTATAAATAAAGTTCCAAAGCCGATTGAATGAATGTTTAGAATATCATTTTATTTACTAAACCCTTAAATTTAATAATATAGTATTTTTAAATTAGTTGCTGATAACCTTAGAAATAGTAAAAAGAAAAAAAAATCTTAAGGTATTTGTTCACAATTATTTACCCTATATTTAAATGAGTTTGAAGTTAAATAATATGTATTTTAAAAAGTGTATTTTTAAAGTAAGTTCACCTATTTATGATTGTGATATTTATTAAAAGTAGTTTTCTGAAATATATAGAAAAAATCATTCGATGAAATAAAAAGAAGAAAAAATAAAATGTAATTTTTTATAAAATATTTAGCTTTTATAGGGAAAAAATTTGCATAAAATTGGATTTTTTTTTTTTAAGTTAGTCATTAAATGATAAATCACTGCAAGTAATAGATATATGCCTGCAATTTAAATAAATGAAAAAGTCCAATATTTTTATATTTGTATCAAAAATAATTGAAAAAATGAAAATAAAATTATATAATTTGATATTTTGAGCAAATGTAAAATCTTTATATATAAAATTAATCCTTTGTTTTTTATAATGGGTCAAATAAAATCCTAAATATAAATTAATTAATAGAAGATAAGGAATGGAAAAAATTACACTAGGATAAGATGCAAAGTAATAATAATTAATTAAAAATTAATAATAAATATTTTAAATAAATTTTAATAAGTATCTTTAAGATAATAATTAAGAAAAAAATTAAAAAAATTTATCGTATTTGTATATATAAAAATTCATTTTGTATTTATTTTTAGGTGATTAAAGGTATTTAAAGGAGTATACTTATTACTTTTGAATTAATGTCTTTAAAATGTTAATTAATAAGAACTTTTATTTTATGTTTGCATCTATTTTTATCACAATCTTCTTCCATTTACCCTATGATTCAGTAAAAATAAAATAAAATTTGAATTGAAATAAATAAATAAAATATATATTATCATTTATATTTTTCTTTTTTTATTTTATTTTTCTCACTTTTTTTGTCAACTATTTTTTCACATGCAAATAAACTAACTTTTTCTTGTCAAATATTTATTCATTAGTAAAGTCTAACAATGCTTGCAATTAAATGATATGAAATAACAATGCACAATAAATATATAATAAAAGACCAAGATATGAAATAACAATGCACAATAAATATATAATAAAAGACCAAGTACGTTCAATACTAAACACAATTTATCAAATTTTTAAACACAAAATATAATTAAATTTAAAATTAATTTCTCATTTTTCAACAACATAAACTTAATCACAAAAAATAAATTTATTTTTTCTTTATATTAATGCAAACTTAAAGGTAATTATTTTTCTCCTTCTAAACTAGCACAAGTCTAAAAGTGGTTCAAATAAGTTTGAATGCAAACCAAATATTTTAAAAAGATGAAAATAAAATAAACAGTAAAAGAAGAAATAAATATGTAGAAAAAATTAAAAAAGATAATATCTCAAGGAATAGTAATAAAAACTCATCATTCATTGAGTAAAAGGTTTTACAAGAGAATAGAAAATATTACAAGAGAAACCTCACATGAAGGAATGGAAACCCTCTCGTGAAAGATTCTTCTATTACTTTTGCTAGTATCTTTTATTTTTTATGTCTCCATTAATTTCTTCTTCTTCTTTTTTTATAATATTTGAAGTATCTTTTATGATCATAAAAATATTATGAAATAAGAACATTAATATATTTTTTTTGTTTGATTAAGTGTATGGGCTTTTTCTTAAAGAACTACTAATTTATGTATTTGCTTCATGTTGTACATAAAGAAAGTTTGATTTTGAAAGAGATATCTATATAGTTGTGATATTGTGTTTAATTTTTTTGAAAGCATAATTTCAAAGAACTTTTAAAATCAATTCCAAAATTAAGTTCTAAAAAATAATAATATTTTTCTAAAAATATCACCTACTCACCACCATTTTTTTTCTTACACAATTTTAATGCAATGAAAGGTAGAAGTGGATACATAAACACAAGTTAAAGGCAATGAATAGTTGATTCGTGCCAAAACTTAGAGTAGAAAACAGAAATATCGTATTAACAAAGAAGATGCTATTTCTAAAAAAAAAAACTCTGGAGCTCTACTTTACTCTTACTCTGATTGAACTAATTTTACTATAGTCTGTATTGTGCTTTTATAAGTAATTTTTTTTATAACACCAATATAAAATACAATTATTTTATTAATAATATATTATATATATTACCAAACATTCACGTGGTCTTTTGGTCTCTATGTTTACTTGTGTAGAAGATAAAAGATTTGCAAAATATTTTTATCAAGTAAACATGATTAGCAATTAACTTTTTTTATTTTTTGTTTCCATGTGATTCCATTTTTCTATTTATTTCTAACCTTCTACTCAAAAGAGAGGTGTGAATAAAAAATTTAAAGTAAGTATATAGAAGAAAATTATATTATAAATTTTTTAATTTATGTAATATTATATAAGATAAAAAGCTATATATAAGAAAAATTTAATATTAATCAACTCAACAACCAGCAATTAGTAAAATAATAAACAATAACTACTAGGGGTGTTGCGAAAATCGAACTCGCGACCTCTCGCACCCGAAGCGAGAATCATACCACTAGACCAAACACCCAGTTGTAAACTTTTTAAAAATATTTTAAGGCTACATTTATATCACTTTTTTATTCATTTCTTTCCTAATCAAATTTTGGATGGAATTCAATCATGTTATTCAAACGCTTTATCTAAGTTGGCATCTGGTGTTCTCCATAAATTTGTGATTCACAAAATCATCCAATGGAGAACCACGAAAGGAAATTATTTTCATAATTAAAACTCAAAATTTATTTTTTTGAATAAATTAATAATTTTGTTCTATCTTATAAGTTTATTTTTATATTTAGTTCATTTAAAAAGGACAAATTTTAATAATAATTTATTATATTAAATAAAATTTAATTAAAGAGGTTAATCTGTTTTTAAAAAATATCAAATTTTAAAAATATAAATATTTAAATTTAGAAGAGTTAGATGACATATTGAGAAAAAAAAACAACTAAAAAAATATTCTCATTCATGATAACATTCCTATACACATACACACAACTAAAAAAATTATTTTAGTGAATATTTTTCATACTATATAGATATTGTTAAATTAAAATAAATTTTTGAATAAGAAATAAAATATATTACATAAAATTTTAATTTATAATTTAAAAAATATTATTAAATATTTTATCATATTGAATAAGACTATAAAAAATAAGGCTAAATTAAATAAATAAAATTTTATATTAAAAAAACTATCACACATATAAAAAAAAGGTAAAATAATAGTATGTATATTTTTAGTTCAAAGAGTGAGTTAATGTCAACAAAATATATACAATATTAGTAAGAGACAGTAACTTTATAAAAATATCATATTTTTTTTAAGATTTACAAATTTATAATAAATAAAAATAACACAAAAGTTATAAATGCTTATTATGGTACTCATACACTTGAAAGAGTATTCTATATTATCTAAGATTAATGGTTGTAATTTTTCTAATATTTTAAAAATAAAAAAATATTAATATTTTTTAATTAAATTACTAACTTTAATATCTATCAGTATAAAATTAATAGTTAAAATTATTTTACATACAAAAGAAGGTATCAAATTCTCTTTTAATTATAAAGAGTTTTCTAACTTGTACAATTTTGTACGGGATAAATTTTAATAAATGCACCACTTAATTAATTTTATTAATTATTTTATCATGGTTTCTTTTTTAAAAAAATTATTTTTTATTTTTTATTCATTGATTAAGTGATGTATTTATTAAGATTTATCCTATGCAAGGTTATACGGGTTAAAAAATCTGTAATTATAAAGGATACCCTAAATTTTATAAAAATTATATCATAATATCTAATCTAATGCATCATTTGTTAAAATAATGATCAAATTAGTCATTAAAAACAATAAAAGTGCGATCCACATTTAATTAATTCAATAATGATACAATTAAGATTGAAGTAACAGTAAGTATATATATATATATATATCATGTATAATATATTCAGTTAAAATTATATACAATTATAAGAATATTAAATTAAAAATTATATAAAAATAGAGAAACAATCCATATACAAATATCATATATAAACTTTAATTTATTTTAAACATATTAAATAATCCAAATTGAAAACTGATATGATTCTGGATGGAACATTGACAAAGGGGTGTGAACGTTGATTGGAACGGAATTGGCGGGGAAGAAAGCACAGTGTTATGATAATTTAGAGGACAATTCCGTACCCAACGCCATGACATAAGAAAGAAAGAAAACGAGACGTACCGCAGTCAATCATTGTACGGTTGCTTACGTTCAATTTTGTCAACAAGAACAGTACGGTCATTAGTCATTGAAGGGTAAACACACAGTAATTTACCAATCATCTTCACTGCCCCTCAACCTCAACTCCACCAACAATTTCCAGAAAAAACTCCCCTCCAGTTACACGAGGGTCATATTTTGTGTTTTTATATTTTTGTTTAAGCAAATTAGACTTATATTTCTTACTTTTTAAATGAGTTTTCTTGATTTTTTTAAGTTTAATGAAGCAAGTTTTTAAGCTTCTATTAAATATACTCCTTCTCATCTTTTATAATATTTTTGAAGACATTAAGTAATACATGCATATAATTAAGTTAAAATGTATTGAAATATATATTTTATGAAATTATTGACTTTTATAATACCTGTTTTAAAAGTAAATATAAAATAATTTATAATTGGTTACAATATAAATTTTTATTGGTAGTATGTAAAAGTTAAATTCACATAGCAAGATAAGTACCATTTAGAAAAACTGTTAATTCTTTCTTGATAATATTGCATCATACTCTCGAATTTTCGGCTCCCTTGCTCTGGCTTTTCACTCTGCACGTTGTGGGTCTTCATAACTTATGAGATAGGTATAGATCGAAAATCATGCCGTTGACTCAAGTGACACCATTTTTTTAAACAATTGATTTCGAAATTACATGTCACTGAAATTATTTTGTCTCTTCTTTAGACTACCCTATTTCTTGTACTAGTCTTGAATCTTTCTAAAACAAAAAGAGTGGTGAAATAAGATATAAGATGTCATAGGGTTTTGAAAAAAAATGCGATTCAAAATTCAATGGTAGGAACATGCACTGTGTCAGTTCGTGGGTCACCATATTGTGGCTTTCGCTAATTTGAGAATATAGATGAGAGTTCCTTGGTGTTGGTATTAGATAATGAGAAGCCAAACCAAACCTATGAAAAAAAAAATTATATATGAATACATTTTTAGTTTCAAAAACTAATGATTCCTAAGCAGTGGACCACTAATAACTACGCCCACTGGATTAGTGTGGTCTTATCATTTTTAATGAATGATATAAAATGTTTAATTAGGTGCCACCAATATTAAAATTTTTTAGCCTTGGACAAGCCCTTGGTTTGCGCCACTTCATTGACACATATGCATTGGCCACCTAATAAATCACAACCAACAAACGTGGAGTTGAGACCCACACCAACTGTATTATCATGCTGCTCTACTACTTTAAAGTAGTAGTGTGCCACACATTGCTTGTGTTTTTTCTGAACAATTTGAATTTATCTATTTTTATCTCTTTAACTATTATTAAGTCAGGCTTAACCCAATGACCACTTCAAGACAACTTGAGGTCAGCTATAAAAGAATAGAGAATAATTTTTTCACGCTCAAAACATTCATTCACCTATCATGAATTCCCTATAATTCAAACTTGGAAAAGTGGACTTTTCAATGGGACACATTCCCCTTCGCACTGTCATTTGTCTATCACCTCTATTGCCCTCACAAATATCATCATAAATCCTCCCTTCAACTTGCACAATAGCCATTCCCTCCTCTATATAGCTCCCCTTCAATATTCTCAAAGTCCCTTTGGTACTTTGATTAATCAAAACAAAATGCTAGGGAAAAAGATGGTGTCATTGAAGAAACTAGCCAAAAAGGTGAAGGCTGTTGGTGGAGCTGACCCTGATCCTCCGTACCAAGAATGTTTGCTCAAAGGGTATGAGGAAGAATCCCCTTCTAGCACAACCCCAACTGGTTTTTTTGCACTTTATGTGGGGGAGGATCGCCAAAGATATGTGGTTCCAACAAGCTACCTTTCTCACCCTCTATTCAAGATGCTGTTAGAGAAGGCATACAACGAGTTTGGGTTTGCTCAGAGGAATGGCCTTGTAGTTCCATGCAGTGTTACCACGTTTCAGGAGGTGGTAAATGCTATAGAATGCAACAATGGCAAGTTTGACTTGGGCAAGATTTTTGAAGAATTTCTTTAAAGTGCAAAAAACAGATCATGCCATATTTCTTTTTCTTTCTTTGGTTAGTGTTAAAATGCATCAAAACTATGACCTCTTTGGTGGGGTTATATTTAATGGATGTTCTAGCCAGACTTTTAGAGAATATACACCAATTCTCATATGCAGTGAGCTAGATTTAATTTCAATGGAAGCTATTGCTACAAGCAATTTTCAATTAGGATTGATCTGACATGTAAATTAGTTTGTGCAGGAATGATAGCTAGCTTTCAATATATTCAGCTTATGCCTTTCATTTGCTTTATTACTTGTCCCTTGCACTTTTCAGTAAACATGTCCCCTACTTTTACAACTGTCATCCAGTGCCGCAAAAAGTGACCTCAGTAATCAGAGGCAAGGATTGTGCACTTTCAATTAGTCAACTGGGTGTCTGTCTGATTGGACATACTGTGGTGCATATATTTGGAAAAAAGATCTAACTGCATTAAATTTACACGAGTATTAGGTGCTCTTCACTCAGACTTTCCTTGCCCGTTGGAAATATCAAGGAGTAAATTCTATTCGTACAATTATTTTTTACAGCTGAGATAAATAGGAAGGGAAAAGTGTGAGAACTAGTAAGCTCACTTTTTTAATGTATTTGAATAAGTCATAGAATGTAATAAAATGGTGTATGTGTTTCCTATTATCATATATACTACCGTAACTTGGTGAAAGAAGGAGAAAGCAAGTCTCCTATTTCCACAGAAACATTAGTGGTCACATGCAGTTAGGCTGTCCTATAAATACAAACATCTTGCATTATTCAAAATTATTCTATTTCAGAATGTTACATATAAAGAAAAAAATTTAGAGAAAAAAAACGTTTCTTATGTAATTATTTTTTCTATTATCAAGAGAGAGTGCTATTATTTTCTTATGATTAAAGAGAAAATATATTATTCTTTCACTCAATAAAAATTTTAGTTCTAATATTTTTAACTAGTTACAAAATATTTATTTCATATACTTTAGTACCTAACAAAAAGTGTGAAATGAGATGAGTAAGATAATGTAGTATAAATCAATAAAACAAGTCAGTTAGTTGCTAAATTTCATTTAGACACCTTGACACTATTTGTATCTGAGATCCTCTTAGCAGCCCGGCAGAAAAATAAAACGAAAAAAAATTTGGAATATTGCTACCATGCAGTCTTTCTTTGGTGCAGTGTTCAGCAATTTGTTTCCTTCTCTCTTTAAGGAATCACGAGCTCGAATTAAAACAAAACAAAAAAGATGGCTTCATTCTTCAGGGGAATTTTGATGACTTAGTATATGCACAGGAAACTGAAAATTGGTTGGCTGTTAGTAAGGGCAAACACTAGTTCAATTTTCGTGATAGCCAGATTGAAGCATTATTAATGACAAGACCAACCCGTTTTGACCTGTTTGGTGGTTTACATCAGTAGAAATAAATTCTATAAATTAGCAATATAATTGCATTAGTGGCCTATATTTCAAGAAAACATGATTTGTTTATATAGACAATGTTCTAACTTTCATGTTATCATCATTTGTTTTTGTCATAATTTTCATTCATTGTGAATATTGAAAAATTGTTTTTCTTCTGCAATTGGCTTATCTTTGAAAGAATAGATAGGCAATATTTTAATAAAGAATGCTAGATACTGAGATGCTTTACACACATCAACACCAAGCACATCACCTTACATTTGGGTAAGGTGACAAAATAATAGTACTAAGAAAAATCAAAGCAGAATCAACTGTATTAAAATGATTTCAAAAGTGTTAATTCGGTCATAAATGTTTTTTGAGACAAATAAATTAATAAACCTTCCATTACTTGAGGCCATCTGAGAGAGAAGGTATCTCCGCATTGTTTTAAAGGGTATTGCTGATGTTAATGGCAACTTTTGCAGATGCTTTCTTCTTTCACAGCGAATTGTATTGTATTTCTACCTTCATTTTAAAATTCCTAGGAAATTCAACAGAACAAGGAGAATCCACACAAACTGAAACTGAAGAGGCAACAAAGTTTATGAATGGGTCAATTAAATTATTACCACATGTTCAGAATTGGACTACAGTAAAATTTATTGATTTTCACCGATATAACCATCCACTAGAATTCTCTTCATATGATCGACGAGTCCTTCAATCTGCTCTCTTGAATGAAGGGGTGATGGATATATACAAGCACAATCCAATTTTCCATCCCTTATGGTGTCAAATATGGCTATGGATGGGCCAACACCATGTGCAGAGGCACAACCCACATAGTCTTCCAATCCAAGCTCTTCATGCATGCCAGCTGAATCATCAAAGACAGGGTCTTCAAACACAGAGATCAAAGCAGTTCTAAGTGATGAGGATGGTGTTAAACCAGGGTTATCAATTGCCTTGCACATGAGGAAGTTCAGATCAGACATGTCTGAGAAATGCTTATTGCAGTTCAAAGCATTTACAAAGGCTGCGTAGCTCCTCTTTGCTAACTCCCATAATGTTTCATCACACACATCATGTGTGTTCAGGATGGCAGAGTGGTAAAACCCTGAACCAAACAACAGATGCATTGGCAGAATGTTGAAACTTTACAACATTAAGAAAGGTATTACATGATGCACTAGACATATCCAAGTTCATTATTATCATTTCAGTCATTTATTTGTCTACAAGACAGAAACCAAATTTTTCTACAACATTTGGCTCTCACTCAAGTGCACTGGTACATATACATGAGCAATGAAAATCTAGACAAATCTTGATTCAAATGTCCAAATGGGGTGAGGGCAGGGCAAATCACAAATTTGAATGATAGCTTTCATATTTCAAACGCGGGGCATCAACAATTATCAAACTATTTTATTTACTAGGGTTGTAAGGAATGATTTGATACATATGAGACAGCCCCTTCCTACCCATTCATATATTCTTTTCATTAATTTTCAGAAATTAAAAAAGAAGAATAAAGCCTGAAAAAAAGAAGAGAACATGTTTTTGTAAACCAGTCAAGTATAATGTCAAAGTAGAAGCAACAGTAGCATTAAAATACAAAAAATGGAATAAAGATCACTAGAAGCTACTGCTTACCAGCATGGTTGCTGCTAAGGACTGGATCAAGAATTGGGCGGCAATCAATAAGTGTTACTACAGCATACTTTTCTCTTTGATGATCAGGAAGGCATTTAGAGGTCCGTGAGGCAATCATTCCAGCTGCTGCAAGTACCCCACAAAGTTTAATCCCTCTTGATTTGCATCCCTACATGTTATTGTAAAATTACGAATTAATTCATCAAATCACCAGATCATAGGCACGTATACATGTTAGAATGCCATATCAATCAAACTTCATAGTTTGCCATAACAATCAGATCAGACATTGGACGCATAGAAAACAGATTTGGCATTTTAAAGAAACTGTTAGGAAGCACACTGGCTTATATTATTAATTTTCATGCTTACTGTTTTATCCCAAGCATTAATTTTAATTACATATACCTAGAGATGAAAAAAGACGATAACATAACATCGCAGCTGATATTGGCTACAATTCGCTGCAATTTCTCCCACCGAAAATATGAATTATCATTTTTTTAGTTGATAAAATCTAATTGATATTACAAAGTGTTTAGATCAAACCACTATGCTGTGAAACACAAACCCCTAATTCATAGTGGAGGCCCTTTCTTCTTAATAGCTTTGGCTTTTAAGGTTACGTCTCTGTAATTTGCCACTCCAGCATTTTTCTAAGGGCTAGTATATTCTCGAATCACGTCCTTTAAGAAAAGAGAGGAAATCTATGTTTGCAAATGGAGAATGAAATATTCAAAAGACTAATTTGATATTTGAAAAGAGCCAGTGCTCATAAGCGAAAATGCCATAATATAATAGCACTAATAATACATTTTCCAGCAAGAAACTCTTGATCGATTAACGAGCATTTGTGGTGATATTAATGGTTAGATTCTTGCATTTACCAATGTATTGATAATAAGTATATACATAATAAAATAAGGTATAATACATTTATTTCAAGCTTATGTCAGAAATTAGTCTTACTGATTCTTAGTGAAGCTCAAGTAATAACTGATCATAGAATTACACTTGGTGTTGGTGTTGTCGTATTTCGACATTGTAGTTGTCACTTTTATGTGTGCATATTTGCGCCTTATGTCCGTCCCCATGCTCAATCATTCTTGCGGACAATGACTCCTACGGTAAAAACAAATTTACCCCATACATACATATACCTCTCTCCAATTGTCTCACTTTCATTACAGAAAATAAAAATAAAAGAATCAGAGCATGTTTAATTTCCCTTACAAAAGCAACTGTTCATTTTTAAAAATAAAATATAATATAAAAACAAAAAACTATTTAAAAAAAAAATCAAACATACTCTTATTATAAAGTGGAGTTATGGGAGAATTTTATTATTATTATTAAGTCGATGACATATAAAAATGATGGGTCACTGTCGGAAAAAAGTTTGTCTTACTTATTGAATGGACCAAAATCTAGCTAAGAAGCATGGGTAGGATGACGATGCGACATGACATTACATGTAGGACCAAACACATTCAACTTATTTTAGAAAAACAATTTTTCTCTCATATTTTTACGGAACGAAAAAAAATTACTTGTTTTTTCAAATCTTTGAGAAAATTATTATTTTTCAAATCAATTCATTTCCAAAAGTGGATCAATATTAAAAAATGAGTAACATTCAATTCGATCTTGAAATAAATCACTTGACTCGATTTGATCATTTGATCCTTCTAAAGAAAAAGAGACTAACTAACTCTTTAAATTATAAAAATAGGATATTTTAATTCTTCAATCATTTTTTCTGTTTTTTCATACATAATTAATCCCTGAAAAAGTAAATATATGCTAATTGAGTCCTTAAAAATCATTAATAACCAAAATTAATCCCTGAAAATATTATCTAAAATGAATGAAGAGTAAAATGTTTTACATTTCTAATCTTAAAATATTATTAAGTAACAGTTTTTTCTTCAGAAACTAAATTAGGTCAAATATTATTTTTTAAGGAATCGAACTCAGTTTCTATTCTTAAAAAATTGTAAGATACATCAATTCATTATCATGTAAAATTAATATAATATTAACATAAAGCTAAAAACATCAATTAAAGAAAGATGTTAATATTTTAAAAGAAAGTATTAATCCAAGTACAGTAAATTATTATTCAGATAATTACTATATAACTGAAAATGTAGGGCTAATAGTATTGAAAAATATCGAAGAGCAACCATTGAATTATCATGTGTTCCTTTCCAGATCATAAGTCAAATATGGAAATCAAAATAGAATTATTGTTTCGTAAGAGAATCACTCCATATCTATTTATCTCATTATCTGATCCTCCAAAATCCTAATTACTAATGTATAACTATAAACTAGTATTCCATTTTACCAAACAGTACTTTCATAATTAATTAATTATTAAGACATAAAAAAAACATTAATGAAAATAACAGAAAAGAAAAAGAAAGAAGAAGGGAGATGACTCACAGCAAGTAGGTATTTGGTTTCATCAGCGGTCAGTTGCAACCTCACAATCCTGGAGCTTCGAGGCGAATTCGCATCCACGAAACTTAAATTCGCGAACCTCAGCGCGTTCAGCGAGTAACCAAGGACGTCCAACCCACGCGCCCAGAACGGCTTGTTCATCTTTCCTTCGGGAATCATATCCTCCATCGCCAAATTCACCTTCTCATCCTTCGTTTCATCCTCGACGGCGTTTTCCCCCACGCGCCGCAGGAGCTCCTTGAGCAATGCGACCGCCGCGGCGCGGTCGCACGCCGACGTGTGCAAGCGAAGGAACACGGCGAAGCGGTCGTGACTAATCGTGTACGTGCTGGCGTAGAGGATGTTGGTGTCGCCCGCCGTGGGATCGCTCCACGTGTCGCTGTTCATCTCGTGCTCGAGAAGCGTGTGGAAGGGATCGTGACCGTTGGATTGGGTTTGGACGATGTGGGACGTGGATTGGATATCGAAGGATTGGATATGGACGGAAGGGTTGGGAGGGGTTAAGAAGTGGAAGGTGTTGGAGGAGGGATCGTGGTGGATCTTGGAGCGAAGGATAGGATGAAATTTTTGAAGATTATGGAGGGCATTTTGGAGAAGAGGGATTGGTGGTGGTTTGGAGAGGAGGAGGCTGAGGACGGTGACGCCAGTGCCGACGGGAACGGCCTTGCACCAGCTGAACTCGGTGCCGCCCATGGGTCGGGTTGTGATGGGCTCGGGCATTATTGGACTTTGGGTCTGGGTCTCACCCTCTTGGGCCATGCTGTTTGCGTGAGAGGGCAGTGTGTTAGGGAAGGGAATGAAAAAACAAGTGAAGAGACAGATTAAGATAAAGCCGACAATCTGCTATCTCTGTATAGGGCCCACTTTGCATTTGTCTTTAACAGAAACTGTGAATTATTAATTAATGTAACTTGAAGTAGAAGACCATACATACCATAACAGAGAAGAAGAAAGGACGCCAAGGTATCACATGTTTCGCGTGGGGCAATATCAGTTTTAAGGTATCTTCACCATTTAATACATGTTTAGATTCATGTTTTAATAGTTACATCATTACTTAATTGAAACTTTGGTGTTGAATCTAAGTTTATAGATTTTTTAATGCATAATAACTTTTTTACTGTAGTTGATACTATTAATTATACATTTTGTATTGGAATTATATTTTATTTATTTTAAATATATGTAATATTTTTAAGAGTTTTATTAACTTCAACTTTAAAAGACTGAGTAAAATTTTATTAGAAACAAAAATATTTATTATATTTTTATGACTTTAATATAATAATTGTATATTTTTTTTATAAAAATTTTCTATCTGCTTAACCTTATTCTAACTATTTTTAAATATAAAAATTTTAATTTCAAATTATTAAGTGCTTGTTTGAAAAAATAGTTAATCTTCATTTTGTAAGAAGTGAAAAAATTTTACTTTAATAAAAGTTATTTTAAAAAAGGTGTTTCTTCAGTAGAATGTGAATACAATCAAGCCTTAAATATAATTAAATTAAATCGTAAGTCTTATATTAAAATATATGTTTTGACGTGTAAAATTTACTATTGATGGTAATCAAACACAAGTACTTCATTGTTCAACTCAAAATGAATTGATGTGACTAAACTTGTAACAGAGTGATGCATGTCATGCAGATTACTTTGAGGCAGGGGAATTACACTACTTTTGGAAAGTCTTTCATGAGAAGAAATCCTTGGTGAGCTGGAAGAACATGATTTCTTGCCAAGGGCAGGAATTTTTGAAATCTCAACACAAGTAGTCATAGTTTGGCTATAGAAATTTAAGATTATTTGGTAGTATTACTTATATAAAAGGAAGAAGAACAAAATTAAAGCTCTTTTAAATTCAAATGGGAAATAGATACTAACAAGGATGAGATAGGAAGAATATTTCTAAAACTAAAAGAGTATAAATTAATTTTATTTTATAAGAAAGATTTTATTTGTTTTATTTTTTTTATAAATACTTAGACAAAAATTTATCTAAACTTTGTCTTTGTACTTGGTTCTCCTTCCATTGCAGGTTAAGCTTTTTTGTTCATATATTTTTCTCTTTCCTCTATTGATGTTTTGTTCACCCCTTACATCTACAATTTTCAAGAAATACATCATTTTCCTTTCTAGTTGATTTTTAAGATAAAGATTATAATATTTTCAACTTTAATTCTAGAAATTTGAATATTGGAGATGTAATTTTGATTTCATATGATTTTGTAATATTAAAAATATAAGAGCATGTTTGTTTTCTTTTTTAAAAATAATTTAAAAAGGAAAACAAACATGCTCTGTAATTTTTTATTTTTATTTTTTTGCACTTAAACTTTTGAAAGTGCAACTATAGTTCTAAAATTCCAAGTTTAGTTAACAAATCAGAAACATACCTTTGAAACTACACTTCTTGAACTTAAACTTTCAGAAATATATACATTTTTAGAATTCCAACTCTCCATATCAAAGGTATATCAATTCTAGAACTTGGAGTTATGAAATTGTTAAATTAAATAGACCCAAACTTATACTTCCAAAACTTCCATTACGTTTTTTTTGTATGGAGAAGATTTTAGGAATTAAAAAATAAAAAATGAAGTTGGAGTATGTAAAAAGTAATTTTTTAGCAAACTTTAAACTTTGATTGATTTTTTTTTTTCCGACTGAACAAGATTTGATATATATATTTTAACTAAAGCAAGATTTGATATAAAATTCGGCATATACATATACATATGACCTAGTAAGAGGAAAAGGGTATGAGAATTGGGCTTAACAACGGCTGTTGTATGTATTGGGCTAAATTCAGTATGCAGGTCAAACGGATTGAATATATTTTTGCGCCTATAGACTCTTATCTATGATAATGTTTAAGTATTAATTTGATCGTGGCAAAAATTATTTTTAAAAATTAAAAAATATTTTTAAAAGTAAATAAATATACTTTAATTTTTTTCTGTTTTTTTAAAGAAAATTAAGTTAATATACTCTAACTAATTAACTATTTTTTATAAATAGAAAAACTAAGTATTTGTTTAGCTCATTATCGTAGCTAAAGACATGTACATGCAGGAGCTGAGATCATTCCCTTCATTCTCGAGAAAGGTCACCTTGTTTCACAAAACGTTCTCACAAAAAACTTTTGCAATAACAAATTTTTTATAATAATTTAATAAAGTATAATTATTAACATGTACTTTTATTGATACATTAAAAAGTTTAAATAATTTAATTTTGATACATTATAACATTATTATTTAATATTTTTTTCTTATCTCATTTTGACCACAAAAATAAACATATTAATCCATACTACTTAAATAATATAACCGTAGATTATTCAAATAGTTATTTAAAATTGTAAATTATTAAGATTTGTTATATTTTAATATTTTTCTTTCATCTTTTTATTTCTTCTTTCCTTTAACATATTTCATACTCATACCGAGGTAGGAAATAATTATTACTCATTTATTTATGATTATTTTTAAATACAAAATTAGAAATATGTTCTATTTTAATAAAAATTTGAAACATATATATCCTCTCTTTGGTATATAAGTTGAACAAAAATTGTGACTTATTTACAGGGTTAAAGTCGTAAAAGTTTCAGTTTTGTGCATAAATCACACTACTCTTTATGTAATTTATCTACGTTTGTTTCATAAGATAAGAAAAAAAAGTGAAGGAAAAAGTAAATTTTAAATTTTAAATTAAAAATAAGGAAAGAAATTTAATGTTTTTTTCATCTTAAAATTATCTCAATGTATATTCAGCTAAATTAAAAAAAAATTATTATTATCTATGGTTGCTTGTATTATTATTATTTTCTTCTAGTCCAAATAGATGGAAAAAGAGTTGGAATACGCTACTAAAGAGCCAGGGCACAGCAGTATGAATAATTTTGAAGCAATTAAAGATCAATTTAAATGAAACAAGTATGTAATGCTACATGCATCAATGATGAACAACCTTAATGACTACAAATATCTAACAGTAACAGCGACAACAGAAGTAATAAGGTGAATGAAAAATAAAAGAAAAAATCCTTATTCTTTGTACGTCTTTGCACCTTCAATAAGGATAGTCTTCATCTTACCAAAAAGCTCATGCATCTGTTCTCGGGAGTGTAATGGGGCAGGGTACACGCACACACAATCCAAGCATCCATCTCTTATGGTGTCAAAAATGGCAATAGAGGGTCCCACCCCATGAACAGAAGCACACCCCATGTAGTCATCTACTCCAACCTCTCTTTGCTTCTTGCTACCGTTCTCCACGACCGTGTCCTCGAACACGGACATTATCGAAGTTCTCAACGAAGAAGATGGGGTCAAACTCGGGTTCTCTATGGCCTTGCACATCAGAAAGTTGAGATCACCCATGTCCGAAAACTGTTTGTTGCTTTTCTTTGAGTTTGCAAATGCTCCATATGCTCTTTTTGCTAACTCCCATAGGGTTTCTCCTCCTTTGATTTCGTGGGAATTCAGAATGGCAGAATGGTAAAATCCTGAATTTCAGTATAAGCCTTTTTGTCAATGAAATCAATTTTTGTTCCAATTAATGCATTATGCTGCATTAAAACTTAGTGGCAGTTGGTAGGAGATTTTTGTTGTGTCCTTTTTCTTGTTACTTTTTTCCTTTTTTAGTCACACTCAATTCAATGCTAAAAGATTACACCGTATGTGTATTTTATACAAATATTACTTATAAATATTTAAATAATATCATGTTTTCTATTTTTTCTTTTCATCACCTTATATTATTTATCATAAAAAAACTAATTTTATTAAAAATTATACCTAAAATATCTTTAATACTACTTAATTAAAATTTGTCTATTCAAAATGGCTTCCACTTCCCGTCCACACTTTCAGTCAGAAACTTATTAATAGTATCCTTTTATAGTAAAAAGGGACAGGCATTGTTTGGGAAAGCATAGACCTTCTGACAAGGATTCAAAAGAGAATGGTATCAATATCCTACGACATTACAATCAATTCTTGCAGAACCGATCACTTTTATATTATATATAAAAAAATGTTGATCACTCTCCTAGTTAAATAATAATAAAATTATTAAAAAAACATTCACCTCCACAATTTTAAATATAAAATTACTTTATTTATATATCTAAATTTTTTAATTTTAATTATTAAAAATACAAATCTATTTATAAATATATTAATTGTTAAATTTGTTAATTTCACAATATTTATATTTATAGTTTCTTTTTGTTAAAAATTTATATTAACAATTGTTAATTCATTCTTAAATAATAAGTTTTTACAGTGATATTAGGTGATGCCTGCCTTGTGCTATTTTTAATTTTTCCTTAATATCAATCATACCAAAAAATCTAAACAATAACTAATACACAAAGAAAAGAGAAAAAAGCATGGGATGAAATGGAGAGAGACAGAGAAAAAAAAAAGTGAGATCATGATTCATTTAAAATGTTTCAATTTATTGATGAGATTTCCGAATATGGCCTCACTCATTAGCATGGGATGAATATAATAATAGCTTTAGTTACTAACTAGTAATAGGTTAGTGAATGTTTTGATAAAAGGAAAGTGAAAGATTTATGAAAAATGAGAAGTAGAAGTAGAGATATTTACCAAAATTGTCAGAGAGAGGAGATTCAAGACTGGATCTGCAATCAGTGAGGGTGACTACCCCATACTTCCTGGAGCTACGTTTGGAACAATGGGCAGCGATGAGTCCTGCTGCCACCAGTGCCCCACATAGTTTAATCCCATTCCACTTGCAACCCTGAACATTTCATGTCACCCAATCATCCATTACTCCAACATTTTCTTCCCAATCCATAAAAGACTATATTTTTCATAAATATACAAACATTTTACATTCTAAGTTTTATACCCTGTAAGTTTGATAATCTTATTAATATTGAAAGACACGTTATGTTATGTGGGGTAATAATTAATAAAAGAAGCACATCTTATGATATAGTAGTAAATATTTGAAGGTGTAGCTGGCTTACAGCTAGAAGTCCCTTGGTGTCATTTTGGTTAAGTTGCAACCTCACAACTTGGGAAAACCTGGTTCCTTTGGGGTCAACGAACTTCAAATTGGTCAACCTGAGGGAGTTCACGGAGTAACCAAGAACGTCGAGACCACGGGCTAACACACCCTTCTTGGCCTTGGCACGTGGCACAAGATCCTCTATGGGCAAACCAGGCTCTTCTTTACTCTCTGCACCCGTGCCACTCTCTTCCATCAAGACAAGCAGTTCCCTGAGCAGCGACACCGCGGTGGTGCGGTCACACGCGGCCACGTGGAGGCGCATGGCCACGACCCACTTGGCGACGTCAGGGATGGCGTAGACTGTAGCGAAGAACACGTCATGAGAAGTGGAACGGGTAGGATCGTGCCACGTGTTGCGGTTGAGTTCGAGTTCGAGGATTTGTTGAAGAGGGTCGGTTGAGTGAGGGAGAGAGCCGAGGGTGTGAGAAGCTATGTTGATGAAAGGGGTGGGAGAGGTGAGGAAGGAGAAGGTGTTAGCGTTGGGGTTGTGTTGGAGTCTGGACCTGAGGATCGGGTGGGAGGTTTGGAGTTTTTGCAGAGAGGTTTGGAGAAAATGAATGTGTGGGGGTTTGGAGGTTAGGAGTGCGAGGACAGCGATGCCCGTGCCACCAGGAACGGCTTTGCACCAACTGCATTCGGTTGCGCCAACGGTTCGGAGTTTAGGGTGGAGAGGGAATGTTGACATTGTTGTTGGGTTGGGTAGTGTTTTATTTATTGTGAGTAATGGGTTGGTTCAAGGGTCGGGTCCCTCTCTGCTCTAAAACTCTATTTATAGTGGATTTCTGCATGTAACAGTAGCTGTCCTTCAAGTTCGAGATTTTCAAATGCCTCCTCTACTTCAAACAAGACCCACCAAGAGCCTTGTCCTTTTAATGTTTTATTTTTTAAATTTATTTATGTATTCTGAATATTATTAATTAATTACTTTTTTCTTTGTACAAAAGGAGCATCAAGTATAAAAACATAAGAGATCTATCAAGAACACGTTCTTTTATTCCTAATTTAACAAATTTATCAACATTCTCAGTTTGCTTCCTTACAAAATGTGACAAAATCTAATAAATTAAAATTCTCTAACAAATTTCTAATGTTAAATATTAGAAAGAGTAGACGATAAAAATTGTCATTGAACATTCTTGTGAATTAACAAGACCAATTCATTATTGGATTTTATAGTATTTTAAACCCCTAATAGGTGAATTATAGGCCATTTATATGGATATCAATTAATTACTTTAAAAGATACGTATTACCTTTATCCACGTGAATAACAAAATTTGTTGAATAAAATAATACTAAATTTTAATATTTTTTAATCTATATAATGATTAAAAGCTAATAAATCAATTAAATTTATATACAAAATAATTTTTAGTTTTTATTAAAAATTAATAATTAATTTACTAAAATTAATAAAAATACTTATATTATATAAATTTATATTATTTTAGAAGAAAGTTAGAGCTAGAACTTAGCTAGCTACCTAATACCCTTTTAAATTCTAGCGGTACAGTAGACCCCTATTTCATAGGGGACTTTCTTGAGTACTACCTTAAAAGGTAGTACACTCTTGTAGAATTAGTGAAACGCGTTAAAGAGTTATGTAAAAGTCATTTAATTGGTTTTACTAATGTATTATAAAGGCCCCCGGCTGCTAGGGCGAGGGCATCCCTCCCCTCTGCTTCTCCTCCCCTTAGCAAAAGATTGGGTAAAGTATCCAGTAGGATCCCTTACCTTTTCTTTTGCTAGCTTAAGGGTATGGAGCCAGCGTCAGTCGGTCATAGCATGTCGAGAAGGGGGACTCACCTTAACTCGGCAGAAGATACCGATGCTTTGTAGTAAGCATCAGACGGTTTGTAATGATAAATAGTTAAATTATTATTTTATATATTAAATAAATAAATAATTTTTTAATTTCATTTTTATAAGAAATAATCATAAATATTTTTATTTATTTAATGTCTAACTTAATTATTTAACTATTTATTACAATAATTTTTTTAAAGTGCACTATAAACTTAATTTAAGTTATTTAAATTTCAACTTATATCCTTGCACAAAGAAATAACTTTAAGAAAGTTGTTTCACATGTCACTTAAGTATACACAATGTTTTTTTTTTTTTTTAATATAATTTTTAATATGTGTTAACAATATATTGATAAGAATTTATATATAATAAATTTTGATTAAAAATAAATATTAAAAAATTTAATAATATATAATATAATTTTTAATAAAAATATTGTCAATTTTATCATTAAAAAAAATTATTTTTTGGCTGAAATAAGTTGATGACCTACTCTAGTCATTCCCATCATCTCCCAGCATATAAAAAGGGAGATCTATCTGCCAACCATATTCACTGGTGCACTTAATTTCTTATCTGTTTTGTTATGTTTTTTTCACCCCATAGGTATTGTATCCCTTGCAGCTGGTCCTGCATCTTTCCAACCCCGATCTTTGTTGAAAAACATAGTAAGCTATCTTTATGACATATACACAAATTTAGTACATTGATTCAAGTTTTCAATAACCTCATCGTTTCATAAAATGTGGCAATGCAAGTCATTTATGGATATGCAGTTGGACCATAAACTCTCATTCTTTAATATATTTTTTAAATTGTTAAAAAATAATAAACATAATGAAGAAAAGTACTAAAATTTAATGTTATCAATATACTTAATTTAAAAATATTTTTTATTACTTTTTAATAAAATTTTACTATACTTAAATTTTTATTATATATGTGACTTAAGAAAAGTAATTCTTTATTATAATCGTTTCTTATGAATTAAACACGAAAGAAAGCTAAGAATGCATGTGCTACTTGTGTACTTAAATTTCTGATATCGAGGCCATAATTATGGGACCACAACATCATCATACTCAACATTAAATTGCACGCGGGTTTCCTAGCTTGTTAAGGTAAGAAATTTGACCTTCAAGCTGCATACATTGGTTGTACTCAACAAAATCTTCATAGTGACGCACAATGGCACACAGAGCCAATAGATTCACGTACTGTTTATATTTAAAGTGACAAACTATATGCGCAGACCAGTGTTAGCTTCAGATTAGGACTGCATCCGATTTGTTATACTCGAAGCAATGAATCAATGCATATGCATGTAATTTATACAGTTGAAGGTTAGCTGTTAATATTAAATACCATGTGCCAATCAATCATCATAGTCCAAAGGGTAAGAATAAGAGAGTACTTTGTTATTAATATCTATTTGCTGCATCAAGAAGATAAATTAATAACTACTCCCCAATCTTCATTTTATCTTCCTGTGCTTTTTGGTAAAGATTTGTTTGAATGATTATAATATTTAGTAAAATTATAGCATGCAAAAATGACCAAGCAAAAAAGGTAAAAGACTAACAACGGTCAAATTTTACTAGCATGAAATGTATTCGATAATAACTCAGCTACCTTCATAAAAACTTGATACATATATGATTGCAACAAATAATTGGAAGTTACTTCTTCTAATTAACTTTTTATTTATAGCAATTCTAATAAAAAAAATATTCTAAATCTTCTTCTGAATGGATATCCAATTTATTTATTTTTTGACAAATAATCAAAATCCTCTTTGACATTCTTTGACTAACCTTTATCATAAATTTCATTTCTACTTTCTTACATCTTTAAATAAATTTACCACGTCTACACCATTTTTTTTTAAATAATTTGTTTAAGATATTTCGATAACTTTTTAATTTTCCTTCTCAAATTCTTTGAATCGTAGTTGAAATGATTGATTTGAAATATACATATTTGCTTTAGGAAGCATAATTAAATAAATACTAAAATTTAAATATATTTTTCGTCTTTGTAATTTATCTCATTTTTATATTTTATTTCTATATTTTAGAAATTTAGGCGTAGTCCTTATGATTTTGTAAATTTATGTTTTGGTTCGTATAGTTTAATTTTATTTGTGTATTTCCACAATTTATTTTATTCAGGTTTTAGTCTCTTTAGTATTGTAGACATTAATCTAAATAATTTTATGACATATATTTTGGCTTATTGCTAATAATAATGAAGACCAAAAATGAAATTTTTTAGAGTATATAGATCAAAATAAAAATTGTCGTAAACTGTAAGGAATACGAATGTGTTTAAACCCAAAGACTAATCAATGCATGCTTTCCTTCAATTGTTCTTTTGATACGTACTCGAACAAATATATAGTTCGACCAATGGAACAATGCTTTTATTTATTTATTTATATATTTTTATTAACCTTTAACATTTTCTTGATCACATTTCGACTGAACCAAAGTTTCAATATCATCTTAAATACTTTATGATTTTTACAATTTGAAAGAAATTTTTATTTTTATTTACATATTTATTTAGAAACTGAAGACAATATTGGTTGTTAATTTTTTCAATGATGTCTGTATTTATATTTAATTCTTAAATAGTTTATAATGTTTGGACATTTATCATAAATAAGAGAAAAATAATAAAAAAATTTAATTTTAAAAATTGTTAATTACATTTCTTAATTTATGTGTAACCCAGTTAAGTGGATACATAATTTTTTTAATACTATATAAATGAAAAATAAATAAATAATTTAAGTATTATAAATAAATTTACACACTTTCCATTCTATCTATAACTTCTATATTCCATTGACCTCAAGTTATGCAAACTTTTCATGGTGAAAAATTCATAAATAAAATATGCCTGAGCAAGAAGACAATTTTATTTCACGAGACCATCATCAAACCTCTATTAAAGGAATGCCTGCAACTATAGTGACATTTAAAAAAATATCAACACTTGCATTGTGTTATCAATTATATACTTGACTTAAATATCCAATATAGTTGATAGTAGGTTCTTATAGATAATTAATTTGATATGTAAGTCCTTGATTCTTAAAATTGTTGGGTAAAAAAAGATAAAGAGAGAGACTTCTGCAGTCTCTGTCCCTGAAAGCACACCCACATGAAAAAAAATAATTCTTGTTCAAAAACATGAGCTACTGTTCTAGTTATATTTTATAATTCTATTAAAATATAAGTCTTATTAACAAGTGTTTTAAAAGTTTTAATAAAAGAATTAACAAATATGTTAAAAATTACGTTAGAGATGTACTAAAAATTAGGGAAGAGGAGTACATTCTTATTCTTTTCAATAAAAAACATTTTTTATTTCTTAAAATATTAGTTTTAAATTTGTTTATTTAATGTTATTTTAAAAATAAGAAAGTATAGCTTCTTTTAAATTTATTATTGCCTTTTGAATGTCCACCAAACGGAAGAGTAATTTAATCAAATAGGGTTTAAAAACAGTTGTATTTAACGATTTTTCAAACTTACATGGAATTTTTAAACGACCAACATTATAAAGCAAATGATAAAAATATATATTATCAAATGCTAATGAATTCACATAGCACATTTGTTAAGAATTTTAAAATAAAAATATTAAATAAGAAATAAATTTTCAAATTTTAATATGTTAAATACTATATATTTCACTAAATATTTTAACTTCTTATCAATTCATTGAAGACATTAGCAGCATATGAATAACCGCTAATTAACAAATTAATGTTTAACGAATAATTCTAAACCCTCCTTTTTTGTATCTTTGTAAATATTTTTTTATACTTTTAAAATAATAAATGTACATATTTTTTATTTAATTATTTTATAAAATAGAAAAAAAAAAAAAGATTATTAGAAAGAAGCGTAACAAGATATAGCAAAGTCGATGCCTAATACTGTGACTGACCCCCGAAAAAAAACATGCATTACAGGGACTTGGCACATTTGTCATCATTTACAAACTAGGAAGATCCTTTGACACTGTCACTTCTAAGCGTTATAGTTGGTGATGCTTTTGTTTACCTGGTACTGAGGAACAAACCTTAAAAACAATATTTACTCAATGGGAGCCGAGTCTTGTATTGATATGCTGTTTAGATGCAGAAATGTTTTCCATATCAGACAAGTTCATGCCCATGTGGTGGTCAATGGAACATTCCAAGACCTGGTTGTTGCAAACAAGCTCCTTTCCACCTATGCCCAACACAAGGCTATTGATGATGCTTATTCTCTGTTTGATGGAATGTCAATCAGAGACCCCATGACTTGGAGTGTCATGGTTGGTGGGTTTGCCAAGGTTGGAGACTATGCTAATTGCTATGCCACCTTCAGGGAGGTTTTAAGATGTGGTGTTACACCTGATAACTATACTTTGCCTTTTGTTATAAGAAATTGCAGGGACAGAAAGGACCTTCAAATGGGTCGAGTGATCCACGACGTTGTCTTGAAACACGGGTTGCATTTGGATCACTTTGTTTGTGCCTCCCTTGTGGACATGTATGCCAAGTGCATGGTGATTGAGGATGCTCAGCTGTTGTTTAAGAGAATGGTTAGCAAGGACCTTGTGACTTGGACGGTGATGATTGGTGCTTATGCTGATTGCAATGCCTATGAGTCATTGGTGTTGTTTGATAGGATGAGGGAAGAAGGGGTTGTTCCTGACAAGGTTGCTATGGTGACTGTTGTCAATGCATGTGCCAAACTGGGGGCTATGCATAGGGCTAGGTTCGTTAATGAATATATTTTGAGAAACGGTTTCTCTATGGATGTGATCCTGGGGACTGCAATGATTGATATGTATGCAAAGTGTGGAAGTGTTGAGTCTGCAAGAGAGGTTTTTGATAGGATGAAAGAAAAAAATGTTATTTCTTGGAGTGCTATGATTGCTGCATATGGTTATCACGGGAGGGGGAAGGAAGCAATTGATTTATTTCATATGATGTTGAGCTGCGCAATATTTCCGAATAGGGTCACCTTTGTCTCCCTCTTACATGCTTGTAGCCATGCAGGACTGACTGAAGAGGGTCTTCGCTTTTTCAACTTGATGTGGGAAGAGCATGCTGTTAGGCCTGACGTCAAACACTATACCTGTATGGTTGATCTTCTGGGCCGTGCGGGGAGGCTTGAAGAGGCTGTAAAATTGATTGAGGCCATGACTATTGAAAAAGATGAGAGGCTGTGGAGTGCTTTGCTTGGGGCATGTAGAATTCATGGGAACATGGAGTTAGCAGAAAAAGCAGCCAATTCTCTACTTGAACTACAGCCACAAAATCCAGGGCACTATGTATTACTAGCTAATATTTATGCTAAAGCTGGTAAGTGGGAAAAAGTTGCAACATTTAGGGATATGATGACTCAAAGGAAGCTGAAGAAAGTTCCTGGGTGGACATGGATTGAAGTGGATAACAAAACATATCAGTTTAGTGTTGGAGATAGATCCCATCCTCAATCAAAGGAGATCTATGAAATGTTGATGAGTTTAATTAAGAAGTTGGAAATGGCTGGCTATGTACCTGATATAGATTTTGTGTTGAAAGATGTTGAAGAAGAAGCTAAGAAAGAAATGTTGTACGCACATAGTGAAAAGTTAGCCATTGCATTTGGCTTAATTGCCATCCCTGAGGGTGAACCCATTAGGATCTCCAAAAATCTGAGGGTCTGTGGTGATTGTCACACGTTTAGTAAGATGGTTTCGGCTCTTATGAGAAGGTCCATAATTGTTCGGGATGCAAATCGCTTTCACCATTTTAGTGATGGAACTTGTTCATGTGGGGACTACTGGTAGCATGATGACAGTGTACAGGTCAATCTTGTGTCCAACTATTGCATATGCTTACCAAGTACCAAAAATATGTGATGAGTTTCAAATGTAATTACTGACTACAACAGACGGGTACTTGGTAAGTTTCGAGGCCATATTGACCTTTTTCAGGTATGAGTAGATTATTTTGGGCAATATACCCGGATATATAAAAAGAAAAAAGAATATCATTAATCCACAAGAACTGACCGGTAGGAAAAAGAAGTATGGGAATCTGAGTTATTTTTATTCTGAACTTATGACATGGTAATGTTAGTTACTTTCGCTAGCTCCTGATTGTTAATTATCCTGAGATGGTATTGAAAATTGAAATCAAATTATATTATTGTTAATTTCTTATCCGAGTACGTGGAAAAAATGTAATCAATTTCTGAATTCTCGCTATCTCCCTCCTCCCTTTTGCCCTGCTTTCACCTAGCTACTGCTTATCCTTTAACTTTATACATTGATAATTTAAATTTAGTTGAGTTGAGTGTTTTATGATATGCTGCTTTGTGTGAGAAAAAAGTGACAATTTGGAACCTAGTTGCATTGTGGAAGTAAAGAATTGAGGTGTCTAAATATAATATAGTTTTTAAATATTCATAAAGTTCTCAGATGACTGCTAGGAAAAAAAGCTAACGAAATGCTTGGTAGTTTCCAATTGTAGAAATCTGTGCTTTTTTATTTCCCTACTTGTGGAGTTTGAATCTCCTAATTGCCATATTTTTTTCTTGGCATGTTTGCTTTTGATACAAATTCATTCTGTTTTTTAACCTTAAATGCTGAGCTTCAGGTTCTATTTTGACATATGTTTGGATTATTGTTATTATGTAATATATATCAGCTATGTTATGATGATAATAATAGCATGGTTCTCTGGATAATTGCAACTTACTTTGCCTTTCGGGAATATCTTTTTGATGAACAAAGCATGGTCACCTATTCTTCCATTACTGTGATTATGACTTCATAGATAATTTGAGAAACATTCGCTGAGAAGGATGAGATTATTATCGTTACAATCATTGTTAAAACTTGTGAAAACCAAATTTTGTTTGTCAAAAGCTGATTCTCTTGTTTTCGAAAACCTGTGAATCAAATTGTTGTCATTCTGTTCCCAAGTTCACGGCACCAGTTTACTACTTCAGCCTTTGAGGTATGCAATTTAGTGTAACTTTTGCAAATCATTGCTGAATCGATGTCTTGTTTTTGCTGTCGGTTTCACATTTCTTAAGAGTTAAATAAATGGTTACAAATTACATAACTATGATGATCTCTAATTCATCCATTTATCCATAGCGTTTCATATATAAATGCTACATTAGCATTTAATAAACTAAATATTTCAGTGGTTTGCTTTGCTATATAATTTGTAGTTTTGATTAAAGCACTTCATAAGCCTCAAGAAGTGGTGATTCAACAGATCAAGCCCCCAGAAGAAAATCTTCTTGTGATTGGTTGGTATAGTTTTTTTTTTCCTTCATTTTTTGGTCGACTATTGGTTAGAGAGTTTTTTCCTATCTTTTTGGGAGATAACCTTTTCATGTTCTGGACCGAGCTGAGGGCCCAAGTCGAATAAGCCGTATGCTCTGGACAAATCCATCTGTCGAAGATCCAATCCAAAAGAAACTTGCAAAAAAATTACTTCCTTTTATTTGGAAGGGTATAAGATTGTTTAATTGAATGCCACATATTAAGTCTATTTAATATGTGGCATTAGGGAATGAAATTAAGATCAATTTCTTAGGTTATGTTTAGATTGATGAAAAGAGATAGAATGAAGGAAAATTAAATGATATTATAAGTTAATTTTAATAAAAATTTTAACAAATATTTATAAGAAAGCAAAATAAAATAACTTATACACTATAACTTAAAAAAAACATTTTTTTTTCATAAATACTTATAAACTTAACAAACTTGACCTTCTTATAAAAAAATAAAAAATAACAGCAGCATTTTACAATTGAAAAGTCAAGTATCAAGATTATTTAATTGTTTAAAATAGGAGAAAAATGGAATAGAATTTCATGAACTCTACGGGGGCGAATGAGTTAATTTTTCCTCCTATATTGTAAAAAAATTAGGATGAAATAATAATTTATTTTTCATATTAATTAGTCCATCTCATGTCATTTCATCCAAAAATATGTAAACATTAATTTAAGGTAAGAAAAAACTTATAAGAAATAGGAAAAGAAATAAGAGCATAAAATAGACTGAATGATCATATTGCGTTGCTTCGTCATTCTAGTGCTCCCTCAAATTTAAGCTTTGTAACTAACCAATAACAAGGCATGTGCAGTATATATTATTATTATTATTATTATTAATGGGGTTTGTTTCGTGATTAAAAAATTAATCTTCATTAATCAATCCAACTTAGTTTAACAGATCATATTATTATCTACCCTAAAGTGTTTTCACCAAATAACCGTGGCCCTCACTTCAAGGACACATACTATAAATACATTTATTCTTTTTTTATTTTAAATTTTATGTCAAATGTTATTAATTGAGTAATAAAAGTTATATATAAAAAAATTAGACTTAATATAAACCTTACAAACTTAAAAAATTTACATGCTTTTATTATTTAATTTTATAATTTACAAGAAAATAATGCACGGTAGTATCCTAATTCCCAGGTGAACCACAGTTCCCTCTCAAACTTTATTGTACCAATGAAAAACAAAGAAAAAGATCCGAATAGTATTGTTGAAGAAGGAAGCACGTGTGCAGTTTGGTTAGGTAAGTAAAAGATCTCTTTCTGGGCTTTGATTGATATAAAATGCAAAGAAACATTACAAGGTTAGGAAACTGTCACAAATTTTGGAATAAATGTGGAACTCCTTTTTCAAACCAGCAGGCTACATAATGCAGACATGGGTAGCTCAAGATTAAAGTCATTAAAGCTATTCTTTTAAGTCTTTAAAAATATTTTAATTATTATTTTTATTTAAAAAAAACAATTTGTCTACAGATAATATTAAAAACAATATTTTCGTTTAAAAATAAGTTACTCATTTATTGTAATTTTTAGTTAGTAACCATTTTATTTATTTTGTTTGTAAATTTGCTATCTAATGTTAATTTAATTTAAAACACATATCTTTATTTAGTATTGTAAATGTTAAAAGAGACTTAAAGGGACCAAAATATACTAATTATGATACACACTAATTATTTGCTATGTTTTTCAAATATAGGAATGACAATGAATAAAGTATTCAATGAGTATCTGTAAAATTTACTCTTAATGGATAAAATATTTACTTATTAAGTAAATATGGATATGGATATGAATAAATACCCACAAATTATAATGAGAATGGATGCAGGTATGAGTACTAAGTATCCACTCCAGCCCCATATCCACATATACTAATATATATTATTAATTATACTACTTATATGAGAAAGACTTTAACTCAAAAATCTATGATGTAAGAGAATTAGGGTTAATACTTAATACTTTATATATTTGACTATATTCTCTTTATAGTAATTGATAATTATGTAATCATATGAAAAATGTGATTTACACTGAAATATCTAACTTATCAATTTTTATAGAATTTAAAGATCAAATACGACAATTTTTATACAAAGATAAATCTTCAATAAGTAAGTTTAAAACTCTATTATAATTATTATTCATATTTTTAATCATCTTTCTTAATTTTATATAATCTTATTTAAATAAATTTTACTTACGCTAGAACAACTAATAATTTAAGAAAATAAAAATGTAACCTATTTTTAGTTTTTAAAAATTTTGTGAATGCTTTTGTAAAATTTTGGTCAAGATAAATATTTCACTATTTATTTTGTGTAATTTCATATATTATATTTTTTATTCAATTTAGAGTTCTTTTATAAACATAATTATTTTGGCTTTTGAATGAAAAAATTTTCTATTTTGAATTTTTGAGTAATATTATCTTTCAATTTATAATTCTATATTTTCAAAATTTTTTCTATGTAAAATTAAAGGTTGAAAATTTTAATATAAATATTTATGTTACTCAAATAAAAGAATGTATATTTAAAGATATAAAAATCTATCTAATTAAATTTATTTTATAAGATTAACATAAAAATATATTTACCAATAAAGAAAACTATAAGAATATTTTTTTATTTTTAATAGAAAAATTTATTTACTATTTTATATCGTTTAACTAGGCTAATAAAATTTAATTATTACATGATATAAAACTTAATTCTTATTATGTACTAGTATGTTTTAACTTGTATTGATATTGCTGGATCAAAGTAATATATAAACATAAAAAGATAAATGTTCATTTGGAGAGTATGATTTTGATAAAGAGATAAAATAACATTATTATATCTATTATTCTGACTTTACAATAAATAATTAACTAATGTTCTTTTTTCTATAGGTCTTTAAGAGTGATAGTGCATGATTCTAAAATCTATGAGTTGGTTGTTTTAGATATCTTGAAGATTATGTGTGAAATTTTACTTATAATTTTTAAATACTTGAGTTTAGAAAGTTGATGTATTAAGATATATTTAATACTTATAATATTTAAATATTTGTTTTCTATCTATACTAGAACTTTGTTCAAAAGATACGTATCAAACTTTTGTATTATTATACTATTTATGTAAATTATAAAAACATATTTTTGTATGTGTTCTTTTTTCTTAGATAAGTGTGGGTAATAGAGTTGGGTATGAGTATGTAGACCTAGAGCGTACAGATATGAAAATTAAAATTATTACCCACGTAAGTATCGAGCTGGATAGGATTATTTTTTTAAAAAGCAGTTATCAAGATAAATATTATAGTATTTTACCCATTATCATCCATACTAACTGTTCTTTTTTATCTTTTCAATATATTTATTTTTTTTAATTACAATTGAAAAATGATACTTATTTGTTCATAGATAAGGTTTTCATTTTCTAAAAATTCATAATTTTTTTATTTGATGTCTATTTTTTTTTAATTTTTTAAACAAGTACTCGAAAAATATTTTTTCATACAATCTTTCTATTAGTAATTTATTACTTCTTTTTTGAATATTTATCTTTGTATCATTTAACTAGACTTGTATATCTGACGTAGAGTTTATGTAAATGATCATATAACATTAACACGTTATTTCTTTTAGAGTTGGCAAAA